TGCGATTCGCTTCGATCTTCCCTTCCAAAACTAGAATAAACGAGTGATTTTTGCTTACGAATGTCCGTGCGTAACGCCTAGAATTGCCCACAGGGTATCTGTCCCAGCACGCAGCAGGGCAGTCAAGTGAGTCGCCTACGTGCCCACTGAGTCGTATTGGCGCGGTGCGGACGAGTGGCGGCTAGCGCGCACCCTTGTTGCGAATTGCTTCAGCTGCTGAGGCCAAGTTTGGTCAGTTGTCGTGCGCTGATCGAGGCGACAACATCCTCCCGATCCAGCACAGCACTGCAGTTCCGTGGGCCAAGGGCGATCAGTCGCGGAAATCGACCTCACTCGTGCCATAATCTAAGGTAAATTTATAGGGATTCCTACTAAGTAACCGGCTTGTCACCCACCGGCCCACCGGGCAGTTGGTTTGACTTCCGGACCTGTTTTCAGAGAGGGGAGCGAAGGGGGGGAGTCAAATACTCACTCAAGGCGTCCCGTAGACCTCGCCTGCAATTGTAATTCAGCTTGGAATGGATTTGTTTAGATTTGGCAAAGTGCCATTTACTGGCGATTTTCTTTACTTTAGTCGGAAATCTCAAATCTATGAAAATGGGTTATGTAGAAAAGTCCGCATGAGTCATTTTTGGATTTGTATTGAGTGCCTGATCAAGAAATTGCGTAATGACCCTGGGACCGTAACTCTGTAGAAATTACATGAAATCATGTGTTTTCTATCTTAACCTGTTTGACATGATCTGAAAATTTGAACGATACCTGGCTGAAAAGTTTCTATTCATAAGACAGCACATCTTGCAATTTTGTCATCATTGTCCCAAAACTCCATCCCTGTAACAGCTTAAGAATTGTGCTTTGTTACAGACCGAAGTTCTCGGTAATTTGACTGTTGAATGATTTGACTTTTAGTGCTCCCTAAATAGTTCATTTTAGCAATGATAAGCACTACTATCTCATCAACTAGGACAATAATTGTGTTAGTTCCGTACCCTATTTCTTTTCTTTATTGAATTTCGTATCCCAAGAGGCTCTTTAGAAAATGTAAGTCACTGCGACCAGGACTCAGATCAAAAAAGTTCTACTACATGATTAGCCGTTGCATTTATGGTGAGTTAGATATATTTTACAAGAGTAAATGTGAAGTTACCCGAGGACAGACAAGAGTGTTCACGTTCACATATGTAGACACTTAATCAAAAAGAATCAGATCAGTGTCTGAATATGTAATCTATGTAGATCCAGCATACAAGGTGACCAGGCTGCATGCCAGATCTGGGGTATGATAATTACAAAAATACTTCAGAACCAATGGGATCTTGGTAACTCATATGGTCCAACTCAGGGTTTCCTTACTCCAAAATTTTTAAACCAAAGGCATTGTTGGTACGGTAAGAGGGGGGCCGGGAGGGGGGGGGGCATCGAAACTACATCGGAACGATGTCAAAATGGAGGAATCGACATAAATGGCTAGGGTGAATGGCAGCATATGGAGGGCAGAAATGGAGAGGGGGGGGGGGGCTAGGGGGGGCCCCTCGTCTCGAGACGTACGTCAGTTCGGGTAAAGCCAGCAGCGCGTCCAGGCTGAGAAGATTTCTGCACACTGCAAACCCTGCAAACACCGTCAGCTATCAGCCCGCGGGGCATGGTAAACAGGCATTACTCTACTTGACTTGACTGACAGCGAGGCCAGTAAAGGCCCAAGGTTTTAAAACCAAATTTAGTCCGACCGGGTTGAACGTCCCATTATTTGTTTCACCAGAAATGTCGAATAAACTTTAAAAAGTAGAAGGTACACTGATAAACTAAGTGTTTAACTGCAACTGCTCAACACATGCAAGTGTGCAACTGCAAGTTACTTGCAAGTGTTCAACTCGGTAGGTGTGCACTTGCAAGTGTTGAGCACTTCCTACACAGTGAGCGTTTAATCTAAGGAAGTGTTCAACACTTGCAAGTGCACTCCTACCGAGTTGAACACTTGCAAGTGTA